AAAAAGCCTGTCTGTGCTCCCACTAGTATCTGGGCAACACAAGGACTTGAAGTGCACCAATAAATGTAATGCAATGAATATATAATTAAAAATAAAAGTCATATCATGGAGTTCGAGTTAAGGTTTCATAAAATCTCCTATAGAGTTGCCAGAAACTGTAACATGCCCGGGGGGGTACCCGCGCGCGTTAAACAGTTCGGACCCTCGAGATCTCTTTGATCTATTCTCACAAGTGCAATGTGAAACATAGATGAGAGTCCAGATTTGACAACTTTTATTGAAAATCCATTTTATTGCAATTTTGTCAAAAATGGACTGCGTTATCAGATCTCAGAGTCGCCACCTAATATTTATTTTGGGAAAATTAGGAAACCCATGACTCGTGCCAAGGCCACTGTTCGTCGTAACCAAGGATGCTTGGCTCGGAACCTTAGGTATGAGAGGGGAAGGTCAATAATGAGCACCCCCGTCCACCCGATCAAAGATCGGCCTTTACTAACCATGATATGAATTTTATTTTATTTATATGTTCATGTTCTGATTAGTTAATAAATCCTAAAATTTACTATGTGAAGCATACAAGTATAGACTATATCATTCATTTTGGAACAATTTAATATCATGCATTTTGAAAGAGTTTTGATGATGTACAACCTAAATAAATTGAGTTTACAAGCATGAAAAATCAACATCATTCCAAATTAAGCGACACAACCTCCATCCACTGGCATTCATAGAGTTATATCACATAAGCAACTAGCCTCATGGTAGAATGCTACACATAGTAAGAAAAACACACACACACGGGATGCTAAAGCATAAAAACTCACATGTTTGACGTCCCACGATCAAGCTGCAAAACAAAGTTAGTAAAATATGCATGATCTTATATACAAAACCCTAATGCAATTCACTCATGACATGCAACTAAAGATCCAGTTTCTAAACTATATGACATGTGAATCATCTCAAGAACATGAGGCATCACACATAATCACATAGGAATTGATTAAATCCACAAATGCAAACTTACCCGAATCAAGATGCATGAAACATGGATGCAAAGCATAACTATGATGAAAAATAAATATGATGTTTATGTACAAATAAAGAAAGCAAGTAAAAGAACGGGATAGAAAGAAGCGGGACGGGGAATTATTACAACATTTTAAAGAATAATTACAAACCAAATTAGAGAGGGATGAGGAGAATATTACAACAAAATAAAAACCTCACAATACACTCAAAATAAAATAAACAAAAGAAAAAAAAAGTTTCTTGTGCCTTGGAAACCACCGGAAGTTGGTTAACATCGGAAGACAACGTCGTCTTATCCAAAAGAAGCTAACCGGCTAGTCAAATAAGCTAGCCTGCCAACTAGGACTAGCAAAACCTGTCTTATTGCGAAACCAAGAAAAGGAACAAAAAAAAAATATGTAGGTGGCTCAACTAACCACTACCGGTTAGATTAAAAATAAATAAATAAATATAAAATAAAATAAAATAAAGTGCAAACTCACAACATAAACCTAAAGTAATAAAACAAATATAAGATAGAACATGCAAGATTACAATAAAACTAATATGAAACTAATACACGGGAAAAAAAAAATGAGGTAAAACATGCAAGATTACAACAAAACTAATATGAAATTAAAGTATGCGAATAAAAATAAATAAATAAATAATTATGAGCTAAACGAACCACTAGGATTATAACAACACACTATGAAATATAAAGTAAGAAAATAAATATGAGATAAACAAACCACTTGGATTATAACAAAACACAATGAAATAAGAAGCAAGAAAATAACTATAAGATATAAAATATAAGAAAATGAAAGATTAAAAATTCACCTTCCAAAGAAAGATTGAATTTCTTGATTTCCAAACTTCCTCTTGATCACCCTCAAGTGTAAGAAGCGTGTTTTCAAATCCTCAATTCAAAATTATGGAGTTTATGGAGTTTGTGATATGGAAAGTGGCTAACTCTCTAGTTTTTCTCACTTTCAATCACTAAACATTCTTCCTTATGATCGAGGCAATTGATCTTTGCCTATATCAGAATTTTTGGAGTGGTTTTGGTGTATGGAAATGAGGAATTTCAGCAGCTATGGAAGGTATGGGGTGTATATGGAAGATAGGAATATTTTTGGCTCAAAAACTCAAATTTTCTCTCTTTTTTCACTCTTTTCTCACTCCTTTCTCTTCAATTTCGTGGTCCTCCCCCTCTCTTACAATATGATCATTCTATATAGGCAATGAGGGAGAGTAAAGGTCAAAAAGAAGGTGGGAGACAAGAATGTGATAGGAGGGCAAATTTTCAAGGTGGTTGCATGAGATACTCCTTTATGGATGCAAACAAAACATCTTTTTGACTATGGAGGATGATTAGGTATAATGGAGGATGAGTGGATGCACTTGAATGGCTCAAAAAATAGGTAAATGGGTTGTCTCAACCGAACCAAAACCAAGAAAAATGGGCTATTGCTGTTTTGGGTTGAATCAACAAAATCTGCTTTTAAGCCCAATTTCAAATGGGCATATCTTCCCCATATGGACTTGGTTTTAGGCAGTTCTTTGGTCCAAATTGAATCCTTAGAAGTCTACTTTCCAATGAATGTGGCCTCACATTTAAATTCCAAGTGTACAAAGAGATATACCTAATTTAGTGAAGGCTGTCTCGGGCTGGGTTAACAAAATCTGCTCTTAAGCTTAACTTCAAATGGGCATATCTCCTTTATTTAGACTTGGTCTAAGGTGGTTCTTGGGTCTAAATTGAAGCCCCAGAAGTCTACTTTCCAATGGTGGTGGCCTCACATTTAAATTCCAAGTGTACAAAGAGAAATGCTGCTCATTTCCTTCTTAATGATTTGACACTCATCCTTTTCCTAAACCAGCTTTCTTTCATCCCCTCCTATTTCCTTCAACTCCAAACCTATAAAGAAGATATTTTTAAATATTTTTCAAAAATTTCACCTCCCTTCAATTTATTTCCACTTTGCCCTTACTCGGTTTACTGAAAAGTGTAATATTTTAATCGAAATGGGAGCCTCGGGACATCGTAGAAACATTTAAAAAAAACATATTTTGAAAAGAGGGTTTTAAGGCCTAAAATAGTTTGGCCAAAAAATGGGTAAAGGTTGGGATTAAAACTTAAATTCCATCTTTCTTACTGAGAATTTTGTGAGAAACACATTCTAATTGTCATCATCGGGTAATTAAAAGAGAGTGCCCAAGTCTTAGGGCCGGTCAAAATGAGGTGTCTACAGTTGCCCCTCTTTGACAGAGCTCAAAGTCATTTCATGACGTGAGTGAATGTCAAAACCCAAAGACGACCCTTTTGACAAGGCCGTAAGACTTGGGCAAACAAACAAGATGCAATGCAAGTGGTTGAACCTGAAGGTTGCCTATGTATCCTTTTGCAAGGAATCAAACCAGCGTAGTTCAGGGGCAGAATGGAAGTGACATGCTCAAAATGCAGTTTGAAGGTTGGACTTACACGCTTTGCGAAGCCAGTTGTTTGAAAATTCATGATTATGCAATGCAATACAATGCCCACCGGGGTACCTGCACAAAAGCCCAGAGAGGAACGAGAGTTCTCTAGTGAACCCTCTGATGGTCAAGTCAGAAGAGAGAGGAGTCTATGGCGAATGATAGGCAAATAATGGTAGGGCACCTAACCTTTTTGTATCTTGGAAGCCTTCTTATATTCTTCGTTCGTCATTTCCTTGTCCACTCCGACCTGTCACGATGGCCGAAAGTCTACGTTCTAGCTTGCCTTGTTCACGGTGAGGCTGTCTGCTCCGACGTGAAGGGATTATCGCATTTAATGCTGCGGGGGCTTCATTAATGGCTGACATGTGGTGCAATAATTCTGCAGGATCTTTGCCTGCTTACGTAGTTGGTTTTCCTCTTGACAAGTGTTTAGATGCCATTGGTTCTTGGTGTAACGTTGGGTTCCAGTAATATTGGGCTTTAGTGTTTGAACCGTGTGTTGGACTCTAAGTGGTGGGCCAAAAACCTCTATGGGCCCACCTACGTCATATAGAAAAATAAAAAGGTGACGTGATTTAACAAGTTCTAAATATGGTAACCTCTTATTGTCTTGTCAATCCCAATAAACTGATTGATCTCATCATCTCACTTCTTAAATTGGGATTGGGTTGTTTGGTGCAATTTTTATTTATAATTAGGAAAAAGGTTGGAACTTCTTTTTGGGAAACTTCTATCACCTCAATGTATTGTGATTGACCAACTTTTTTTTGTTTTGTTTTTTTGTTTTTTTTTTCTTTCTATCTCCGACTGACATGTATCTGTGGGGGTTGTGGGAATAAAAAAAAATAGGGTCGGTATAATTTCTGTTATAATTAATTGGGCAAAAACAACTTAAATAAGTTAATTTTTTTTTGATTATTTCAGAATTGAGAGATGGATATTTTATGCTTTCATTTTTTATTATTAATTTTTAATTATAATAAACTATATTAAACAAGCTTTGCGTCTCACGAGCGGAAATACTTCTCAATTTTTTCACACAACTACCCATATGGTGTGGTGGATAGTGAGCACCACATATGATTGTCTAACAATTTGGTATGCTTGTCACAGTTTCGCATGTGTGATTTACCATAGAATGAATGACACAAAATAAAAAAAATGGAATGACACAAAATAAATAAAATAAAATAAAAAAATGGAATGACATGGTGATATGTATTGAAATATATGCACTGTATTATTTTAATTACTAATGGAGACATGCCCAAAACAAGATATCTTTTCTTCAACATTCCTTCATCAATTTACACTTTCAAAAAAATTCCAGAAAAAAAATCTCCATAATCACTATCTATAGATTTTTATGTTTTATCTTATTGTGAAAACAAGTCAGACATCATTTTTTGCACCTCAAACCCGTAATATTTTGATTTTTGTTCTCCATTCAGTAACATTTTTTAAACCACCCCCCCCAAAATTTCAAATGGCGTAAAAAAAAAAAAAAAAAAAAAATTCCATACATGGATCAATTGGCATGACATTCTGGTGGAAGAACCTTATATCTTGATGTATCTTTACAATATGAATAGAACATGAACTTCCTTGTTGCCCATTCCAACCCATTGATCTGTTCTTGTGAAAGCTTTGCAAACTCTTCTCCATCCACTGGATCCAAGCTCGAAAAGCCTCTCCGCGAACATGACGTGGCAGCTGAGTCAGCAGTTGGATGCTGCAATATGCAACCCTCCATTTCCATCTCCCAAAATGAAGCAACAAAGGGTGCATACTGGTAATTCACTGGGTATTTGCCTCCATGAGTTGCCCACTCGGATGCATCCCAAATTGTTGCATAAACTGACATCGGTTTCGAGGGATAAACAGAGGAGATGGCTGCACTGTGGATGAACTCTCTTACTGGTACATTGTCTACTAGAAACCTGCATTGTTGGTTATTCATTAGGATTCAATTCAAGTTCACAACAATAATAGTCCCTAATCTTGTAACTTTTTCACTTTGATCTCTGAAGTACACGATTTTTTACACTCTAGTCCCCCCATGTGCCGTTCAAAATTAATAATAAAATGAGGGGAATTTTCAGAATTTTACATGAAAGCCTCAACAAAATTAAAATGACCAAATGCACCCATGGTCCTCAAAGTATAAATTTTGTTGCATCTGGGTCCCCAAAATATATGTTACAAAACATTTGGGTCCCAATCCCTTAATTTTGTTGCATTTTTTTTGTAAAATTCTGAAAACACCCCTCCTCCAGTTATTGATTTTTAGTGGTATTGATGCTAAAGTAGGGACTAAAGTTTAACAAACCGCATAATTCGTTGACCAAAGTAAAAATGTTAAAAAAAATTAGGGTACTTTGGAGATCACTAGATTGTGTTTAAATCATAAATTTGTTTCATTTTCCATTTTCTTTTCCTCTACAAATTCCTACACAAATTTATAATTCAAATATAGCCTTAGTATAATTTTTTTTTTTTTTTTTAAATTTACACACTTTTCTGAGCACATAGCATTTCTAAAACCATGAAAACCATAGAATTACTTTCATGTAAGACTAGTTTTGAAAACAAGATTTATGTCTTACACAATATGGTGAGTATTCCAGAGGATGCTATATTGATGGAATTGTTGTGTTGGGTCAAACCATAGATATAGCTTCTCTTCTCTCCCAGTGTGGACACTTCCATTGCCATAAACATTTGTTTGCAGAACCCATTCTCTTCTCTTCTCATGACCAAGCAATTCAATGTCTATCTCATCATGGTTGTGAGGGAATAGATCTGCATTAGACAGCTGCAAAAATTTGTCCATATCTCGTCAAAATCCAGTGCCGCGCATGGGCTTGTTTCATACATGAACGGTATGTACTATGTGCATGGACCGCAAAATGATAAAGTTTGCAATTAGTAGCATCAATTTCGATTATTGAAACAAGCACTTTAAAAATGAAGATAAGATTGCTGTTTTCATTTGGCCACTAGCTTGAAAACAAACATTTTGATGTAATCTTGTTTCCCACTTGGTTTGGTAATCCATTTTGCCCCCCTAACCAAAAACTAAAACTCCAAAAACCTATCTTCTGACTTTTTTACAGCCGGGTCTACTATGAATCAATGCATAATTAGTGTTTTTTTGACTTTGTTTAAAGTACGGGTCTACTATGAATCAATGCATGATTAGCATTTTGTCCCGTGAGAAATCCATTTTAATAAAGTTTGCATGAACTTGCCTGTATTATTAAAGGTAAATTGATCATTTTACATTAAAAAATAAAATAAAATAAAAATTAATAAATTTACGAAACATGACAACTTAAAAAAATTATTAGAAAAGTTAAAAGTTAATAACGCATCAAACAAAGTAGTTTTTTTAGCCTAAATCTTTTTATAGTCTTTTTTTATGTCAAAAAGAGCAACTTTTAGTCAAACAGTAAAAAGAAATCTTTATATGTCTTGCCTTTTTCAGATCTTAATTTAGTGAGTCTATCTCTATCACACTTTTTTTTATTATTTATTATTGTTAATGCTCAGTTTGTTATTGTAATACATGTCCTAGACTCTATAATTGAATGCATCTGACAGCTTGAAACTATGCTACTATATAACATATGCAAGTTTTTTCTCTTTTTTATTTTTTATTTGGGAATGTGAAAGGAAGAGCTTACATAGAAGGCTATCACAACTCCAGATGTGAAACCAGAAGGTAGCTTTATTCCAGCACTGAAAAACCCATAGTTGTATTTGTTCCTAGAGACCAATCCAGAGCCTGAAAGAGAGGGATTCAAGAAAAATCAAGAAACAAGAATCCTATGTTCTGAAAATTTTCTGTTTATTCTATGTCCCAATACACTTATTGTTGCATGATGTAGTGAGAATCTCCACATATAGAAATTTCAAGGCATGGAAATTTTTGTCCTCAAATTTATGTTCCTTGCCCTAATACATTCACATAATTTAATATTCACGTCACATATTATTCAATGGTTTAAAAGTATATTGGGATAGAATGACATAGTGATTTGATAAGAGATTTTTGGTCTCATACAATTTAAAATATATATATATATATATATATTGGAGAAGAGAGATAAAAATTTCGAGATATCCGTGCCCATGAAAAATATACTTATCATCAGAATTTTTTCCATCCGTATGTTCTAATAGTTGCACCATATAGTGAGAATCTCTAAATATAAAATTTATAAGATATGGTCATACAGTAGCATGAAATCTTCTTTCTCTAAATCACTATTTCTAGATTCTAACACTCCCAAACACATAATTTAATAGTCGGGATTGTATTAAAACATGAAATAAAAAGACTTAAAAGGACAAAATAAAAATTTCGACACAGAGAATACCATGGCTGTGAGAACATTACACATCATAAAAAGTTGAACAACAGTCATCATATTAAATCCATATCAATATTAGAGAACTCACCAGAGGAGTTGTCTAGGATGAGATTGGCAATGGACCCATTACTCATCAAATGGATATTGGAGTGCCCAAAAAATTCAGAGTAGCCTTGATTAATCGGGACATGGTTGAAACGATCTGTCAAGTGTGGAACACTTGGAGGTGTGTAAATCGCACCTCTTGATGAGACCACAACTATCATCATGCAAAAAAACATCAAGTGACTTAACAATGCCATGTTTCATTACATGGATGGGGAAGAATAAAGCTTTGACAGACACGATATGGTTTATATATGTGGTTGGAAGTTCTTAACGAGTTAATAGGTTTTGCTTAGTTGTTGCAAGCTGGATTCAAATCCTTTGGAAATCTTATTTTCATGGGTTGGTTTTCAATCTTAAGGACAATAATTAGGAATTTCATGTGGGGGTGAGTCGGTCATGTTTAGTAATTGAAGTTTGAATGGCCCTACCTAATCAAGATGTGGGTCACCCACATAACTGGTGAGTGGTCCTATATTATTCAATATTTTTAAGTAAAAGGATTGAGTGAATCTAGTCTCTTTTGTGTTGGTATTTTTAACAGGTAATATGAAGGTATCAATAAATAAGTGGAGCGAATATTATTTCAAGAATGATAAATTGATTGAATCTCCAATGGGATAGGTTTTCATCCACATCTCATTTCTTTATATTTTTTCATATTCCTTTTATAGAGCTCAATTCTAAACCCGAACCGATAATCCGAATCATCCACCTTATAGACATCACAGCAAAAGTTATTCATATAAAAAATTAACTTCATCGGACAATTATAAACAAATGAATAAATAGCATTTTATTTTAAAAAATGAATGGTTTAAGTTTACAAAAACATTTAATTCATTGTATAAAACAAAATGTGATTTTTTTCTTATGTTTATAAATGTCCAATGAAACTCATTTTTTGTATGAATGATTTTTATTGCGAAACTTATGGTATAGACGGTTCGGATCTTCAGTACATGTTTACAATTAAGTCCCATAAGAAGAGTATGGAGAAATATAGACAGATAAAATATGGAGGAGAGTCCATCCAAAGTTTAATTGGTATTCTAAACTACTAGTTATTGATCAAAATATTAAATTCTGTCACTTTTGTATTGATATGAAATGCATCAATTAGTAAGAGGATTACTCCATGAGCACCAAATTGATCGGGTCCTTACATACGGGACAAATATTCTATGCTTCATAAGCAAGTCTTGTTGGTCTAAACACTAGGATTCATTATTTTTGTATCAATTAGTTAGTGAAGTGAAATATTTTGTAGGATTTTTTGAATGAATAAAAGATTTCGTTTAAAAAATCATTTATTCTCATATTTCAATTCACTCACATTTGTTTGTTCATATCTCAAACGTTTCATATGTTAGAAGTTTCACATAATTCATAACCGTAAATGAATTAAGATAAAAGAGTTTTCAAGACACAAATAATTTGTGGGACAAAAGTCCTGACCTTTTCTTGTGTCTTCATGCTGAAAAGGAAGTTTGAGATATTGAGAAATTGAGTAGGAGATTCTCTCACTACAAAAGCCAGCTTTTAACTTTTTATCAATTTTGGGTCACATTATTTTTCACATAACTTATTCATAAGAAGATAAAATAAATTAAAAAAAATTAAAAAATTAACTTTTTATCAACTTCTCAAAACACCTCAACTCCTTTAAATTTGAACGTTGCACACTAAGGTCAAGTTTGGCTAAACTAAAAAAGTACACTTATTTCATCTTTTTATCTTTTTTGAGTCACATTAATCAACATCTCCTCTCTACTTTTTCTACATATAATACAAAAAAAATCAAAAAATATACTTATTTAGTCTTCACAAACTTAGTTTAAGTCTTCGTCATGCATTTATTATAGGTGCCTATCTATCACATAACATTTGTGCAAAAGTTTATATTGGGTTAGGTAAAATTATTTGGTGGTTAACAGTCATATTTTTATGGTGTCTTGAATTAAAAATCGTTTGAGAATTAATTATTTTAATTATTTTTAAATTTTTAATAAAAACACAAAATATAAAAATAAAAAGAGTGATTGATTGAGTAGTTTGACTTTTAGTCTATTTTAATTAAAACTGTAAAATTTAATATTTGTTGTTACATTTATAAAAATAATATGAGAAATAATGAGAAATAAAAGGTGAAAAAAAGAAAAAAAAATCGAATACTGTTTCGGTCAACTGATGAGATGATCGGTTAGTTTAAATTTTTCTATTTTGAAAAAAAAATTTAAAAGTAAATATGAAATTAATTTTTAAAAATATTAAATAAATACCAAACTTCAAAAATAAATAAGTATAAAATTATCCATAACCTTTCAACACTAACAAATGAGCTTAGGGTTGGGTCCAAATCACTCGGTCAACTGATGAGATGATCGGTTAGTTTAAATTTTTCTATTTTGAAAAAAAAATTTAAAAGTAAATATGAAATTAATTTTTAAAAATATTAAATAAATACCAAACTTCAAAAATAAATAAGTATAAAATTATACCAATCGAAGCCATAACCTTTCAACACTAACAAATGAGCTTAGGGTTGGGTCCAAATCACAAAAAAGCAACAGTGGTGAGTGGGCACCACCTCCATCTCTTTTTGTCACAGCTCATGCTCGGCTTTCTCCAAACTACATTGTCGATTCTCCAAAGTACCCCTCCTGTGCGGGATATGTTTAGAGCAACTCCAAAGTCAAAACACTAGATAAATAAATTAAGGGTACATTACATATATTCTCTCGAGATTTAACTAAATTACAGTTATTCTCTTGAGATTTGAAAAATTATAAATTTTTTCCTGAATGTTATATTTGCATATGAAATTTAAATCTCAGTGAGTAAATTGTTATGAAAATACAAATCTTAGGGGGCGGGATGTAATTTCTAAAATTTCAAAGAGAATATCTGTAATTTAGCCAAACTTCAAGAGAAGTATATGTAATTTATCCATAAATTAAATAAGTAAATAAAAATTAGATTCCACACAAAAACTCATTTTTTTAAAGTGAGCTAAACTAACACGTTAAAAAACATAAAAGTGAGCGAAAGGAATAGGACAGACATGCGTCGGATTGGGCTTTAAACGTAACAGAGAAGTATAATGGTCCAAGCCCATTGACATCAGGCCTGATGTTAAAACCTCAAATCTATTCAAATGAAATAGATGGCCCATAAACCAAAAAATAATAATTTACACAACAAGCATAGCCCAAACAAAAACCTGTTAAATAACCCTCGATTACAAGTTGAATTTGTCTGCCTATGCATAGTAAGACTGAACTCAGACTAGGCTTGAATTGCGTACAAAATTTGAGGTTAATTAATCCGTTGACATTAAACTTGTTTACATTGTTTTTTTTTTTTTTAGTAAAATTATTAATAATATTAAATCAAATAATTTACATATACTTATACTAGGTCCGGGAATATTGAATAATAGGATTTTTCTTAGGTGTGTCTTACATATGGTATGCAAGGTATTTATACCTTTTTTATTTTGTATTTACACATTTCTATGTATTGGGTTATATCAAAATATTTGAAAACTTATACATTGGTGACTTGCTAGCAGGTCACTTTCCAGGTAAATTAATAAAATAATATATTATATGACTAAAGGTATAAATGGTCACAAAAAGGTGTAAGTTCTCAGAAAATATACAGTATAAGTTTTCATAAAAGGCATAAGTAATTTCAGAAAAAGGCGTAAGTGACTTTTGAAAACTTACGCCTTTTATGAAAACTTACACCTTTTTCTGAAAACTTACACCTTTTTTTGAAAACTTACGCCTTTTGTGAAATTACTTACACCTTTTGTGAACACTTACTTCTTTCGTGAAATTACTTACCAAAGGTGTAACTTTTGAAAACTTACACATAATACTTACATATTTTGTGAAACAAGTTACACATTTTCTAAAAAGTTACACCATATGTGAAAAAATTTCTTTCATGAAATTTACACATTTTTGTGGAAATACTTACACATATTTTGAAAAGTTACTCATTTTGTGAAATAATTTTTGTCATAAAATTTATACTTTTTCTTAAAACTTACATCTTTTGTGAAAGCCAAACTTAAACCTTTTTCTAAAGTCACTTATATCTTTTGTGGAAAAAAAAATTCATAAAATGTTTAAGTACTTCCACGAAAAGGTGTAAATTTTCAAAAAATGTCTAAATTTTAGCAAAAGGTGTAAATGTTATAAAAGAAATTATTTCACAAAAGGCGTAACTTTTCAGAATTAGTGTACGTTATTTCACAAATAATGTAAGTAACTTCACAAAATGTATAAGTTTCATTTTTACAAAAAGTGTAAATTTTATGGAAAAAATTATTTCACAAAATGAGTAACTTTTCAGAAACGGTGTAACTATTTCCACGAAAAAATATAAATTTTCAGAAAATGTATAAATTTCATTTTTACAAAAGGTATAAATTTTATGAAAAAATTATTTCACAAAAGGAGTAACTTTTGAGAAAAGATGTAAGTATTTCTACGAAAATGTGTACATTTTCAGAAAAAGTGTAAGTTTTAGCAAAATGTATAAATTTTATAAAAGAAATTATTTCATAAAAGGGATAATTTTTCAAAAATTATATAAGTTATTTCACAATAGATATAAGTAACTTAAGTTTTGTTTTCAGTGTAAGTTCCACTAAAAGTGCAAATTTTATAAAAAAATTATTTCACAAAAGAAGTAACTTTTCAAAAAATGTTTAAGTACTTCCACGAAAAGGTGTAAATTTTCAAAAAAAGTCTAAGTTTTAGCAAAAAAGTGTAAATGTTATAAAAGAAATTATTTCACAAAAGGCGTAACTCTTCAAAAAAAGGTCTAAGTTTTAGCAAAAGGTGTAAATGTTATAAAAGAAATTATTTCACAAAAGGCGTAACTTTTCAGAATTAGTGTAAGTTATTTCACAAAAGATGTAAGTAACTTTACAAAATGTGTAAGTTTTATTTTTACAAAAAGTGTAAATTTTATGGAAAAAATTATTTCACATAAGGAATAACTTTTCAGAAACGGTGTAACTATTTCCACGAAAAAATGTAAATTTTCAAAAAAGGTATAAATTTCATTTTCATGAAAGTTTCATTTTGTAAGTTTTATTTTTACAAAAGGTATAAATTTTATTTTTACAAAAGGTATAAATTTTATGAAAAAAATTATTTCACAAAAGAAGTAACATTTCAAAGTGTTCATAGACACAAAATAAGTAACATTTCAAAGGGTTTATAAACAAATTGGGACAACCACTGAACAGTTACCACCAACGGTTTCTCTGTTCTGTCTCACCCACACACACACAGAACAGTCACCACCAAACCTCACCTCC